TGCTATGGCTGCTAATGTTTTGGTACACAAACTGACCAATGCGTTTGAATACAAACAACATGCAATTGGAATATTTCTTGATATCTCAAAAGCTTTTGACACCATTGACCATTCCATCCTCTTAAGTAAGCTCTATCACTATGGAATTAGAGGCGTTCCATTCAATTGGATCCAGAGCTACCTTCAAGACAGGAAGCAAATTGTGCAATATGACAATTCATTCTCTACAAATATTTGTGTCATGAAGCACGGAGTTCCACAAGGATCTTTACTTGGCCCATTATTTTTTCTAGCTTACATTAATGACATGTCCAGGTGTCTGAAATCCTCTGAGTCGATCATGTTTGCTGATGACACTAACTTGATTCTTCATGGGGAAAACCTTGAAGATCTATTCACAGTTGCAAACCAAGAACTAACCAACATTTGTAGCTGGATGTTAGTTAATAAATTATCTCTGAATGCTAACAAAACTAAATTTGTATTATTCCATCCAAGCAAGCATAAAAGTGTGAGTTGTTCAAAAAAACTACTGCTCAATGGCAATGAAATTGAAAGAGTGAAAGAAATAAAATTTCTAGGAGTTATCTTTGATGAAAATCTGTCATGGAAATCACAAATAATGCATGTTATTGGTAAAACAAAAAGAAACCTAGCAGTTTCTGCCAAAGTATCCCAGTGTGTTGATCAATCAGCTCTACTAGCAATGTTTCAATCATTACTACTTAGCCATATTCGATATTGTTGTTCAGTCTGGCTTCATGGTAATAAAACCCTTGTCTCAAAACTGCAGAGTATTTGTAATAATTTTTTAAGAATAGTTTTTGGTAAAAGAAAACGTGAAAGTGTAGAATCTTACTTCAAATCACTAAATATACTTAAGGTTGAAGATATGATGAAATTTGAAATATTATCTCTAGCTCACGACTTCCATAATAATGCGCTGCCCAATTGCTTTAATGACATACTTGTCAAAAATACCTCCAATCGGAGAAGTAGTTCTGATTTATTCGTACCTTTCATGAGTAAATCCGTGAGTCAGCATTCCTTGTCTTTTACTGGACCCAAACTTTGGAATTCTCTTCCCTTAAATTTGAAGACCTTAAAGTCCAAAAAATCCTTTCAAAAACAAGTCAAGTCTCATTTAGTTTCCAAATATTAAAAATTACTACTAGTGGTATTCGTCGTATTCGATGACAAAAACTTGGGACACTCCACACTTGCACATTATTGTTTTAATGAAAATGTTGAACAGCTATAATAATATTGTTATATCTTGCCACGACTTGGCCAGAACTAGTCCAGCACCAAAGAAATGGTATTGTGACATGCTTGAGTATATATATATATTTTTTTAAATATATAGGTAGCTAACGTACCCGGATGATATTTTCTTTAAATAACTGCACACATTCTATCACTTCACGCTCGTGTTTTTATCTTTTTCTAGCTGTGATGTCCTTATCATACACGCTTGGTCTTATGTTTGAGTGGTGGTATAAGGGTTGTAGATAGTACAATATTGTTCCTGCAAGGTTACTAATTATTGCAACTAGGCGAGCAGTAGAGCTATGTTGGTTTCTCCCCTTCAGATTTTAATTTGCTGTGGGTCATTGTAATTGGATGTGGTTTTTATATCATTTATGTATGCATGCGTTTTATGTTAAGGCATGGTGTTTGAGTTGACTTGTTGGCCAAGGTATAGATAGTAAAATTTTGTGTGTTTTTTGCATGGTGTGATAAATTTTTCTCTGTCCCAAGCAGAATGTCATCATAGATCATCTATCCATCGCTATACAATGACAATACATCCCATTTAATTAAACAATTATTTTTTGCCTGTAATAAATAGTTCAGAGCGTCCCCCTTCACCCAATCATTGAAACATCTACTCGCAGTTTTATTTTTTGTTTTTCAGGTTACTTCAAAGTGATTAAATGAAGTAAAACACATAAGAAAAAAATCAAAAAAGACTCCGATATCCTGTGAAATAACAACCTTATTCCTATATCCTTGTCTGAAATCAATACCCAAGAATGAAAAACCTCACTTACACCCTTTGTAACCAATTTATTTCCACATCCTACTTTACTTAATTATAGTAATTTTAGTGTTACCGGTAACTTTAATTACTTACTACAATCTGGACTATAATTTGGCAATAATAGGCTCTAATTTGGGGAATGAAATGGTCTCGCCCACCTCTTCATGCACCCAATTCTGGCAACTTTGGTTGGGCAACTTGGCATTTGACTCCAACTATAATCAGCTTGGCAATATGTTTTCAATAGAATCTTCCTTTTATATCTTAATTAACGATTAGAAGATCGATCAATTTGGCAATGGCAATCATTACAAAAATATCAATATGGTGTGGCAAAAATTTTTTTTTTTTCTTTTTTTGTATTTATTTATTTTGTTTACTGTATAGTATACCCTAAATTTATCGCGTCTTATTCTTACTTAAATAAATTCTCAGTGGTTTTGTGTGTGTGTGTGTGGCTGGTGGGTGCATGTGAGCGTGTGTGAAATAACTTAATAATTTTAGGTGAGTAAACACGTACCACTTCCTCTCGGCAAAACCTTCCATCTTATATTTTGTACGTTATCAACCTTATCTAAGGTTTTGTTTGCTCCCCTGATTTCATAATCAGTTTTTATTTATTTGTTTTTATCTGTCAAATGTATTGTTATGCTGATTATGGAGTCGAAATAAACTTATACTTATAAAGCCCTTCAAACTATAGGAACCGCCATCCAAGACGCGCGGACGAGCACCCGAAATCGAACAGCTAGTTCTCTATCGTCGGCGACGACGCCATTTCGCAAGTGCAGTTTCAAGTGTTTTGGGGCGTCTAGAGCTGCCGCAAAACCATAGCGGGATTTCCAAACCATGGCCCGCTATGACCAAACCCACGGCGACTGACTTTTTAGCTGCCACAAACCAATAGCGAGCTGCCGTGATTACGGCAGCAAATCGGATACCACCAATTTTGCTGCCGTAACCACGGCATGTCGGCTGTAATCATTGAGGTGCAGGGCGGCCCCTGATGGGGATAAATATTGAGTAAGTTTGAACGCTTTTCTTATAAATACAGTTTTGATGTATTTGGGTTTAGGTTTAAGTAGATATAATTCCGCATGATAGACCAAAATATTGTACATAACTTTGTTAATACACCGGCAATAGCGCCATAAAACCATGGCAAGAGTCGCCGCGGTACCTACCGGTACGTTCGTGGCAGGAGCTGCCATGAAGTGGTACGGTAAGAAATGCGCCTCCCATTTCGGGCGGACCCTACTAAAAAGGTAGGTATCAGTAGTAGATGACTAAAAAGGTACGGTACCGGTAGGTATCAGTAGTAAATAACAAAAAAGGTAGGTATCAGTAGTAGATGACTAAAAAGGTAGGTATCAGTAGTAAATTACTAAAAAGGTACTTTTTAGTGAGTGATACCTATGATAATTTGTGATACCTTTTTAGTAGGGCCCTTTCGGGCGATCGTACGTGTATTTGGCAAGCTCTATGACGTGAGGGTGATGTCGTAGTGACGTAATTTTTTGGATGGCGTAGTCAGGTGGGGGTTAGGATTGACACGTGAAAAATTGTTATGCAACGCCCACAACTGCACTAGAAGTATGTCAGGTACGAAACTACATGAGACCCCGTATTCAGGTATTCCTGTATTCTGGCTGTCCTATCGTTAGCAAATTCCTGCTGTACCGTACAATGCGTAACGTCATGAGAAGGTGTTTACACACAATGGGGAATTGTCAAACTGAACGGAATACCAATTCAAAATTTTAGCATAAGTTGCCATTCTGCCATTTCAGATTACAAAATATTCCAGGTACAGGGGGGATTCTAACAGCTTTACAATAAAATAAAAAGAACAAACAAATTTACTGTACAAAAACACAAAGTAAACTGAAATTTCTGGAAAATTCCAATTTTTTAGTACAGCAGTAGGGTACCGGTACAGTTCTCAGAGTCCAAGATATCCTGTCATTAGGTTCAATAGAACAAACACCCTATATGTCTCTGAAACAAGGTCTGGCACGACGGCAGATGTGTCAGTTCGAGCCGAGCTTGTCACTGTAATAAATTAAATCAATCGCGATTTCTTTTATTCTTAGGAAATTCAATGGTGACATTTTTTGATTGCACTTCCTTTTAGTTCATTGCACTGTGCCCTACTGTTTTTCCAACTGAATTAAAAAATGAGTTCATTGCACTGTGCCTTACTGTTTTTCCGGTCTTACTACTTACTGAATACAGCGCGAAATACCGCAAAGAGCGCGAAACAGAGGGAAACGGCGCAAAACAGCGCGAAAGAGCGCAAAACAGAGGGAAACAGTGTGAAGCAGAAAACAATTTTGCAATGAGTTCAGGGCACCTTGTTTTGAGTTGGAGTACCACGGCAGCAAATTAAAAACACAAACCAACGTATGTAGCCAGTAATGCTGTAATGGCAGGTCTGCCCCTGCTGGTGACACATTTTGGGTACCATAATTTAGAACATTTTCCATATGGATATGGTTGGCTTTAGGGTTAGGGTTAGGTAAAAGCGCCGTGGTTCTTTCGTGGCAGAAGGTGGTAACGACTGCGTCTCCTGTTTTGCGCTGTTTTCCTCTGTTTTGCGCTGGTTTCCTTCTGTTTCGCGCTGTTTTCCTCTGATTTGCGCTGTTTCGAGCTATTTTGCGCTGTTTCGCGCTCTTTTGCGGTGTTTCGCACTGTTTTGCGCTCTTTGCGGTGTTTCGCGCTGTATTCAGTAAGTAGTAAGACCCCTGTTTTTCCAACTGAATTAAAAAATGCCTTATGCCTTATTGAAATTTTAGATTTGACCCAAAATTTAGTCGTGATCCTTTTTTAGGAATCGAAAAAAATTTGCAACACAAATGAACTCAACATCATTTGAATAAAAAAGTGGGCAAAAATCATTATAAACAATAATAATTTCTGAACAATTGAAGAGATTTTTGGATTTTGTTTCCTGTTTAATTGCTTTCTGTCTTTACAGATCTATAACGCAATCAGCAATTGAGTTATATATTTAATAGCTACTGGTATCAGTTTTTTCGACTGCTTCTATCCCTGTGTTGGATAATACAGTAATATTTTCATCAGTCAATGAGGAAATATCATACTCTGATATTGAAATCAAAAATCTAATTATGCTGAAAATGAATGATAGGTTTCATAGAGCTGCTAAAGACGGTTATTTGGAACCATTAAAGCAGGTATGCACTTTATTTAACTTACTGTCTGTAGTCTGTACTGTTGTTACTGTGTCTGTGTGTTTAGCTTTTCTCAGTGTTATAATAAAGTTTGAATAATACTGAAATATATGAATATCCAGACATTGGCTTACTTCAGTACTGCTGGTATATATCAGTATATTGTTTTTTGCTACTGGCAATGACATAAAAAATTGTTTGGGTGTATTTGTGGGTATATCTAATTTCTGTAATTCGGTGTAGAAACAGTTTCCAGCCCCTTGAAACAATTATTGCCAGTGTTCTGCCAAATGTCTCAATTTAGTCCAATCTTGGCATTGGTCAAGCTTGTCTGCTTGTAAAAACTATATTATGTAGGCAGAAAGCATTGGACCATTATATGAAATAAATTTGAATTATCTTGATGTAAATATAAAATTGATGAACTTAACAATTTTCAAGTTCCAGGTAATAATATATATCATATAAAAAATAATGCCCGTCTCTATAAGATTTTTACTTGGTTGAAATTATAATACAATCTGAAAAAATGTCAAATAAGAATCTTTTTTTGCAGTAAATTGCATTTAAAAGAAAAGTGAATTTATCATAGCGTGCAATTCAAAAATGCTATCCCCTTTCAATCCAAATCGGGACGTTGTTTCAAAATTATGGAAAAACTAATAATTATAAGGACTATTTGCCACCATTCACTATATACAGATATAGATGTGCTACTGGCTGTTTTTGTGAAATTCTATTTTTGAATTATTATTTCTAATCTAATGAGTTGCGCATACAATACTGGAGTAAATGCCAATTATAATGCAAAGTGTCGCAAGTTTATCTCAGAAACAACCCCTTTCCTACCACCTTACACAAGATGTGATAAATTCGGCAGACACGGCATACCTGAAAATATTGTGGTTCTTGCCTTAATTAATAAGAGTTACGGTACTTATTAGTGTTCAATGTGAAATTGGAATAACCTTGGTTTAAAAAAATGAGTCCTTGATCTAAATTGTAATGAAGTATTGAATCTATTATTAATGCACTTCAGTATGAATTTTTTGCCAGATACTAGTTCAATTAGTATAACTACAAAAAGCATGTTTAATATAAGAAATTCAGATCAAGTAATACATGAAATACATCGTAATGTTGCCCTAGATCTTATAGTTACTTCATCAAGAGCCATAACTTTTATATGTTTAGGTAATAATATGCATAGGCCATAGATCCAATTCACATTTTATCTTTTTACGTTGGTTGGGAAAATTGACATCAAAACAATTGTTTACCAAGTATTGGTTAAAAAATTATACAGAAAGATCCGAATAATCGGTGTTAAAATTAATTTTTAGACCCATTTTTCACACCGATTTTTGGGCGAAACAGTGTTGTATTGATAACATTTTAGTATTGTGATTTGTACCGCATAATATAGTATGATAAAAATCTCAACCTAGTAATAATTTATTTTTAAATGTAATAAATAAGTTCTGTTTTTTCTTCCAGCTTTTTCCAATGCGCAAGCTTTTTGATATATATTCCATCGCAGTACGATATTGCGTTAAATATGTCCATTGGCAATCATAGGCATACTTGACATAACAATCATGGTAATATTTGTTCACTATGGTACTTGAATATTCGTTAATGAGATGTCTTTTTTCTTTAGTTGTATATACGTGAATGACGTTTATCCATGTTTACTCTGCTCAGTACCGTAGTTGGGTGTGACATTGCCAATTTGTGCATCAGTTATTCAAAAACACTATCTCATTGTAACAAATCATTATTGCATACTAGATAACAGTGAAAAATAATATTTTTTTCTGTCCTTTCTCTATCTTGATGCATGTGAACTCATGAATTGGTATAAATCAGTATGACTTTATAGGTCACACCTTTATCAACATCTCACTTCAAATAATTAAGGATATATGTATAATATATATACAGGTGTTCATTATTCAATATCCATAATAAAGGCTGGTAGATATGATTTTTTGGGGTTTGGTTCATACATGTGTAGGTGCTGAATTCCATTTCCATAGAAGTTCCATTATAATTTTTTACTTACTTTCACTTTGTGTGTCTCATAAACTAAAATAAATATAGCATGCCCAAGTGCTTTTTCAAGTTTGTGGAAATTGAAGTTTCTGATATGGATACTACGGTAGTTTACTCGGAAACCCCGATATTTAAAATGTTGAAAAAAAATCTTAACGATTATGGATACTCAACTGTGTTAATTAGTATGATGACATTTTTAACAGGCAACAAAGAAAGACTTGAATCAGCAAGATGAAGGAGGAATGACTCCTACATTGTGGGCAGCCTATCATGGGAATATTGATGCTTTACGACTTTGCTGCAGTCGAGGGTATTCATTTTTTTTGCTGTAATTTATCTGGTTATTATCTGTTTTCATGTTTGTGGATTTAATATTACTGTAAATGCCACACTTTACCCCCTGTAGTGTGACTTTGTGATATATAAATTATTAATGATCAACAGACAAAAACAAACATTTGTCAGGTTTGAACATGAACAATCCAGAGCCCAAAATTAATTACATACCTATATGTGTTATTGCCATTGTGGTGTGTTTGATCAAAGACATTACTATTATGTTTATTACAGTACATGGTCCAATAAAAGATATGGGGGAGCATTGAACTTCAACTTCATTTCCCTATTCAATTGTAACATAATAGAAATTTTAAATAACAATGAGGATAATTTTGCTTACTACTTATTGCGAATAATAGTCAGAAACCTCCATCGTACTTTTTCATAGAACAATTGCCTGGTTTCCTATATAGTTATCCAAATTTAGCAACAAATTACAACAAAATGAAAAGTTAAGGCATGGTGGACTATATTTTACTATATATTTTATATCCACTGAGTCTTGTGTTTAACTTTTGTGCAATTTTTTTCAAGCCCAATAAAGCAACTGATTGGACGATGACACAAAAACACGTAGCTAGAAATTTAAAAATATATTGCAACTTGCAACATGCAAAATTTAGAGTCACTTGGAGAAGCCCATGTCTACAAGAATACAATGTAACAATCATTTAGGAACAAAACTTGTAACTGTCTGGTCCATTGTTTTATATTATACTGAAGAATGGCACCAAGTACCATCTCGTGTGGGTCTCTATCTAATGACTATTATAAGAGTTACTTTTCTATGTAAATATTGGCAAGTCATAGGTTTCATATCTTGGAAAGTAAATCTTAATTAATAAGCAGCCTGTTATCAGTCTCACGTAATTCTCATCAATTTCAAGTTAACAAAAATAAAACAAGTATTTAGTTGAATATAGACTTTTTAATTGTGATGAATCATCTATAATCTTCATCAAATTTTAAATTTTCATGACATTCATATAAAGGGAAATTTCACATTCCTCACCCACATTCTTATAAACTTGATATCTATGCTGTAAAGAATGGTTTCGGTTTGTCCACAACTAATTTAAATTATTAGGCTGACTATTTACCGTAGTTGAGGATAATGTATGGTTTCAGCTACTAATTTCCTTTGTTATTATAGATGTCGAAGAATACTCATAGAATAAATATCATTTTCTTTTTTCTATTTAAACCCAATTGTGCTTACATTTTGTGATGCCATACAATCACGCAGAAAGTCTTGGTTCAAAACAAATCGAATATTTTAAATTTATTCAAAATTTAGTGTATTCTCATTTTGAACAATTGAAGTCATTGTTCTGTATGTGTTTGTGAAAATACAAATTAGCCTTGAAATATTGGGATATTACTTTATTAGATGATACATCTTATATGTCTCCTAATCAAATCAGCATTGGTTTTTGAATCTTGAATTCCTAAACCTCATCTTTATTAATTAACAGTGGGGATCCAGACAAATGGGATTATACTGGCAATACAGCACTACATTTTGCATCTGCAAACGGCCATCTCAACTGTCTTACTTTTCTTGTAAATTTTGGAGCAAATATATGGCAAATGGACAATGATTATCATACTATTATGGATGTTGCGGCAATTCGTGAGCAGCATGCATGTGTCCAATATTTAGATGGTGTGATTGTAAAACAAAAGTCAATGGACAAAAAGGTAATGAATGTCATAATAATGATACTTTGCTGTAGACTTGATAAAAGACTCTCTAGACTTAAAATGTGAATATTTTTGGCTTTGAAAACAGGTACATATGTAGCAAAACAGGATGAAGAAAATGATAAAAATATTTAAAAAAAAAAAAAGTTAATTTCAGTTATCTTTATTACTGACGGCAAATACTGTTATTTTGTATATTGTCTATTTTCTATTTTTCGAGGTAAATATAATACAGTATACGGGATCACTGTGAGCAATGAATTAATTCCATGGTTGCGTCATCTTTATATTTAGAAAGTTACAAATCTCCAAGACAAAGCAAAAAAGGCAGCTGAGAAACGAATAAAAGCATATGAAAAAATGCAGAAACAGCAACAAGATAAACTTGACAAAATACATCGGTAAATAAACTCTTTAATTTATATTTTTTTGACCAAATTGATCGTCACTGAAATTTTACTTCCACTTTGTGCATAATCCATGTTTTTTAACAAACTTTTTAAGACATAATTATGCTATCATACTATAAATAAATTTTTTACGTCTGTTGATTTGATATATTCGTTAGTATTTGAATATTATAGGTATAAATGTAACTTTATTTTTTGTTTCTGTCATATTCAAATGTTCTTTTCTCCCGTTTACAGAAGTTCTAGCACCAATGGTCCACTTGAGAAAGATTCAAGCAAGGATACTGTGAGTTATTTTATTTTGAGCATGACATACTTTATTTAAGACATGGTATTGCTTAATTACTTTTAGAAATTCTAAAGGAATGCAGTCAAATGTATTAAATGATATGTTTTAAAGCAGACACATTTATTAGTTTCTCAGAAACTCTGTATAATTCATCTCTTGTATTTTATACATTGTCCTGATAAAGCTTGTATATTTATCGTAGGTATAATAAACCATCATTTGCATAGTACTAGATAATCAGGGCATTGGTTGTTGTTTCTTATCTTTGAACTTGTTGACCATAAAAGTAAAAGCTAGTCACTCTGATTTGGATTTTGAGACTGCCACTTATGTAAATTTCTTTATTTTTAGAAAAAGAGTCAACGAAAATCAAGCACAAGCAACCCTGTTCAAAGTGAATTTCGAATATCAGATGGTAATGCATCTGCTGGTGGAAGAACTGTTAAATCCATTGCAGGTAATGAATTTCTCATTGCCATTGGTATCACACCATCACTCTGAGCCACAATCTACACTAGCAGCAAGGTAGATAGTTACTAAGGTTCAAAACGATGATGGGCAAATTACGACCAGCGGGCCGGTTCTGGGCCACCAAAGTGTTTTATCAGGCCCACTTGTGTCTGCTGAAATTACGACTAGGTTTTATGAATATAAATTTCCGTTCAAAAAATAATGTCATAAAGAGGATGATTGTTAAATTGTGCTTATTATTATATAAACGTTAGCCTAGCCGCCCTAGCTGTTGGACTAGCATTCGTAAATAAACTGTTTTTTTTTCATATTGAGATTTGAGCCTCCGGCCCAGTAACCAAGTCTATTATCTGGAAGGGGCCCACTCAAACAAGTACTTGCCCACCTCTGGTTGAGTATGACCTGAATCTTTCTGGTGGTGTAACTTGGTAGTGAGCTTGTTGGGTTACCTATTGGTTAGCATGGCTCAAACTCAATACTCTTGACCTGTCAACAGATCACCTCTTATATGATTAAATATGTATTAGTATTGTACAAGACAAATGTTTCTGATTTTTTAATAGTTCGATCAAAAGTGGATAGAACTTTTAATTTCTGAGAAGATGAAATTCTGTCAATTATATTCGGTCATTGGTAATGTCAAATTTCAATATATACTTCTATTATTTATCTCAGAAACATTGGTCTTGCTTTGTACTCAATCGAAATATTTTTATTACAGGATTCCATTCAGAGAAAAATGCTGGTAATGTTATGTACATGCCATCTGAAACAATGCCCTCACGTGGTCCAAAACCGAATAATGATTCACAAGGCAGAGCATCTTTACGTAACATGTTCACTGGTCAAGATAGTATGTCTACTGGTGCAAGTTCAGGGTATGAATCACAGAGATTCGGAACTATGGCACTCAGGTATGCTGCCAAACTAAATACATATACCTGTAGTTAGAAATGACAGGCATTTTGATACTCTCGTAGTGTGTGTACCACGTTAGGGTTAGGCCATAATTGTATTACGATTTTCTATATTTCGATTCTATCACGAGTTCGAGTACTGTCTGTGTTAGCCAACTGAATATACCCCTTTCCCATAGGTTTTAGTCCCTTTACACAACTTGATATAAAGTAGGCAAACAAAATTAGCTATCTCCATATTGGCACACACACTTCTGGAGCACTGGCATTATTGCATATTTATTAATCTTGGGCATAATCCTCTGTTCTTAGGTCAATATTTATCGTAGCAAACATTTACTTGGTTTTGTGCAGAAATGCAATATCTAAACAATATTAAACAACAGATTCATTATGAGGTTATTAAAATAATTGACTAAAAGTTTTGTAACAGTGCAAGGCTGATGACCTTGGTTGGCTTTCCTAGTGAAACAAGAACGAAGGTTTGATATTATCATTAAATTTCCGCTTTGAGAAATTTGGGCACATGCTAGCAGTGCAGATCACTTTTTATAGTGAAATTTTCATTTATGTCAAATTTAACGAAACTAAAATATCGATTGCTTCGGGGGACAAACCGTAAAAAACTGTTTTGAGAAATTGAGGTAACATATATTTCAAACTTTTAAACTTATTAAAATACTTTGGTGAATATTACTTCATACTATGATTAAATTTCAGCTTGAAGATCCCCTTGTTTCTATGTAGTATTTTTAAATAAAACTTTTCCGAAATTTTAATATTTGCCCTGGATACCTCAAAACACATCCAGATTATCACAACTAGCAGAATTTTAGAATACAGAATAACTTGAATTATGGACAGTCCTTGATCTGCCATTGTTTGTTGATCCATTTTGTAGTCAAGAAATTTGTTGATGACAAGTAATTTACATTCCATAGAACTTGAAAATTGTAAACCTTTTTCTCCAGGTCCAATTTTAAGTTGGCAAATTCAATGTATTCTGCAGCAGCAGATGCAGAAAGAGAAGATGACAGTGATATTCCCTCCAGTAGTAGTCAAGGTACTTTTTACTATTTCTTGGTTTTCAACTTTGTGCCATTTACATTAAACTACATTGTTACTAATCTAAAAGTGCAAGGTTACGACTATAAACTACTAAAGTGTATGAATCCTTCATATTAATTATTATTATCAAACTAAATTTGTTGAAAATTCTGTTTCCATACAGCTAGTCAGTCCTATATGGAATATATGAAAAAACAGTGCCAATGGAAAAAAAAAATAACCCTGTAATGCAAATTGAATTTATGAATAGGGAAGAAGTGTTGTTTGTTGAAGCACAATTGAAATATGCTGGCATTCCATTCTATAAATCTTTACAATCAATTGTATGATTTTTTTACTGTTATCAATCCTGTTCATACAAACTACTATGTTTTGCACTAACACTATTAGGTGATGCATGAGAGCATAATGCTAAAATTTTTATGGATTTTTTGTCATTTGGGTCTATTCTAATATTATAGTATTTGATTGCATTTCTATTAAAACAATATGAGGAAAATTGCACGCTTTTGCAAGGTGCGGATTGTCGCGTTTTTTCACTGTTTTTTAAGGGTTGTTGCACGGTTTTTCACTGTTTTTACACATTTTTGCATATATCTTTCAGCGGTCTATAAGCATAAAACAGAAATAAGGGATTATTAACAATCACTATCCATTTAAATTACTATTTGATATAGTGGTTAGTTGATGGTTATCCATGTTAAGCCTGCTAGCCGGAAGACTTCGAATGTTAAGTCTGGGTTTGTGTTACATGCATATGGCGAATTTTTATTCTTGTAATCTAGTTGACATTTTGTTAATTGTTCCAGTGTTTAATGGAGCCGGTGCTTCTTCCAGTCTTGGTTCATTTCCAATGGTTCAGGATCCCAGTAATGGATGGTCAGATGACGATGATGATATAAACAATGGTTTTGATGAACCATCAGAAGTTGACAGACGATGATGATATAAACAATGGTTTTGATGAACCATCAGAAGTTGACACGTTTCTCGCAAGTTTATATCTTTCTGAATATTCCAAATTATTCAAGGTTTGTTTTGCTTATTTTTATCTCCGTTTCGGTATAATTTATGTTTTTTATGTTTTCTTTAAAAAATTTAAAAATCATACAAGAATATATTATGCAGAATCTTTAAATTAGATTTGATGAAAAAAAATTATGTTTTTCATCTTGGAAAAAACACTTAAGGGTACAAACTTCTCACCCCCCCTATTAATAAAAAAATATTTTTGTTTAAATACTAGGTTAAGGCTAAAATAGCTAGCCGACTTCTTGACTAATATGCAAAAATTATTCATGTTGATAGAATATTTTATAGTGCAGGCTGTGCAGCATACATAAGGTTAGGATTGCTATCCTATTGTTTTAAAATTTATTTCCATTGTCAGTAATAAATTAAAAGTCTCCTGCATTGGATAAAAGTAAGATTTCAACTTAAAGATAAGGTATTTTCAAATGAAATTATCCATAAAATCATGAACTTACATACTATAATTTACCAAATCATTTTAAATATATTCAGATATTTATTTTCATACCCATCCCTTCACCTAGGGCAGGGATGGGCAACCCCTGGCACGCGCCCATTTATTCGGCACGCGAGCGAGGCTTCGGAAACGAGATCATTCTCCTTCAGATAAAAAGTTTCAAGACTCTGAATTATCTGATGAAACTCGGTGTTCGTTTTCTCATTATTGTTTGTTAACAATCCCTTATTTAGTTAAACTCTTTTTGTCCTTTCATGACATATGGCTACAAAAAATATATTATGACGTAACAAATGAGTTAGGACTCCAGAAGAGCGCAGCATTCATTTGGCTACATTCTCACATAATATAATTCGTCTGTGCCATCCTTCTTCTTCATTTCTGCTTGATTTATGAAGTTATACAGCTCATATTGGTTAGAGTTACTTGCTAACTTACTTTTATAAATTGATTTCGAAAGAGATACTGTAAAAGCGATTATGGGGGGGGGAATACAAGAGAGGAGTGCAGAAAACGAACTATTGTGTGATTGGGATGCCATTCCTGAAAATTTTCCGTGTCTTGAGTAGCCTGAAAGATGAAACCAGTAGTTCGTGTATTTCGCTGGAAGTTACAAAATATAAACCCAATGTAAAATCGCTATCAGCGGTAATGCAGCAGCAGAAGTCCCACTGATATAGAATAAGAAAAGTAATCAAATCTATTTGTTGGACTGATATTTTCCCGAATAGTGAATTTGCCTGGACATGTTTAAAAGGGTGGTTTATAATTGTGTAGCAAAGCATTGGTTTTAATTTTTGTCGGCACGCGGAAGAATTTTGTCGTTAAATTTAGCCGATTTTGGCACGCGAGCCGAAAAAGGTTGCCCACCCCTGACCTAGGGTGTAATATCTAGGTAGACAATGCAGAATCAAAAAGATTCAGATCCCTGGGGGGGGGGGGGCAACTTGGATCTTAAACCAAGAAAGAAGGTGCCGTGTTGATACAGTGATATTTCACAATACCTTTTCAATTTTGTCATTCCCTTAAAAATTTATAATGTCATTTACTCATTTTATCATTCGAATATCCAGTACCGTGAGACGCTGGGCAACTATACCGCCCCCTTGCACCCATGGGCTTTGCTAAGAGCAAAAGTCATGAATAAGCTACAGGGCTTTTTTGGGCATTGAAAGGCTTGAATTATCGTCCTATAAAGAATGTGCATGTCTGGCATCGGATTGGAAAAGACTAATATTGACTATTTAAATTAATTTAGGAAGAGAAGGTTGAAATGGAAGTTTTAATGACATTCACGTTGGATGATCTGAAAGAACTCGGCCTGGCATTTGGTCCACGCAAGAAAATTAAGAATGCAATTGATGAACGAAAGGCTGCATTGGAATCTAATGTTGAAATGGAACTCACTGAATTCTAACATAGATTATGGCAAAGTCACTAATTATGCAGTGGAAGTTTTAACCTCGTTGCCTTTGCTGTTTTCAATTCTATTTTCTTCATTTTTTCGCATTGTTTTTATGTGGTGACAATATTAGGTTAGAGAGTTTCTCAAAACTTCTGTTTTAGATGTGCTCCAATTTATAAGGGAGATTGAATCTGAACTAGTTTCAACTGGTTGGTACCCGATTAAAGGGTCGTTAAAAGGTCTGCCATATGAACAATTTTATCATTTTGAGTTTACCTCATTAATGGCCAAAATGTGGTTAAAGTCTCAACATAGAACTGTCACAGGTTGTACATACCGTAAGTTGAATTTATATACTAATTAGGAATTTTGTTTTTGCTCGAGATAGAAAACTGAATGTAACCAAAATACATTATTAGCCTAGTTATAGTATTCAACAAAAATCAAATGCAATGGTACCAAATATCCAACCTTTTTCCTAACCATACTTCATCAGCCCACATATTTTTCTCGTTTTTAATTTCTAAAGTCATGATTATGGTAAATGTTGGTTTAAGATATGCTGTGGTGTGAATGGTGATATTAATCTTGAGGCCATTTAACAAAAAAAGATAAATACCATGTCTAATTTATACATCTGGGATACTTTCACCTGACGACTATGTAATAAAACATCTCCATCTGGTGTATAGTTGAGTGGCAGATTTACATGAATGTAAATATCTACACCTTTTTTCTGTCTATTTTTAAATGTACTTTTATGGATTTTGTGTGTCACTGTAAATATAAATCTGTAGTATAAATAATACATTGAATATCGTACTCTCCAATTTGAATACTTTAATTGTTTTTTTCAAGACTTGAATCACTCCTATTTTTGATTCTGCTCGTTTTGAAATTTTTATTTTTGCTTTGTTCATTTGCTGCTTTCTTTTCAGTACTTCATTAAGCAATTTAAATTATGACTGGGATAATTGTGGAATAAAATAATTTGAGAATCATATAAAATTTTTAATCTTAATGATTATGCTACAATAATAGCAAGTGTGCATTCAAATATACTTATTGGTCTGTTGGTTATTGAAAGTGCTTTTTCATAAACTGTTCCCCTTTAATCACTGTATTTTTTATATCAAAAATTAAAACTGTATATTCTATCTCACAAACACAAGTTCAAGTGTTATATCAACTTTTTTTGTTTCTGTAAAGTCTTCTGAATCTCTGGGTATCATAGATTCTATGATACATACCCAGATTCAGAGGACTTCACTTTATGATAACGAAGAAAGTTTAACTAACACTTGAACTTCTGTTTGTGTATGTTATACCCAAAAGTTTCAGTAATTTGAGATGCTTCGCACAAAAGTTAAGTTTTCTCTAGAATATGTTTCAAATGACCTGGGTTCTGTTTCTTCAAGTTTATTTCAGAATTCCTAAAAATCTTTGTGACAACTCCGTACACCCCCCTTTAGTTTCTTCGTGCTGCCTATAAAATGTTTATCTTTCAAGCATCACCTCTATCTGTAGATTGCTATAGAAAGACGAACTCACGCTTAGCTGATCATGAAGTCATGTTTCTTCAATTTGAGCAACATCATGATTTATTCCAGGATTTAAATTTAGAAATGATTTTTTTCTAATACCTATTTTCATCATCGTCATATTTTTATCATTGTGATTTATTTAGCTTTGATAGTTTCAACAATTTTGTAATAATTTCACTGTATTTGTCTGTAGATGCTGCAATTATATAACTGTAACTGATTATGGTACTCCGATATTTTCAATCATTCATATATACATTTTTAATCCTATTATATAAATCAAGTTATAATTTTAAATGATCTTACCTTAAATATACTTTTCAATTCACCTAATTACCTTTTTGCCTGTCGTTTTAGCGTTCTTTTGAAAATCAGTTCTATCACGGACACGGTGTAGTTTTAGCAGTAGTAGATATTTTTAAAGCATTGGTTCTCAAAGTTTTTTAACCGTGTTCCTTTTTAGAATTTATCAAGTCTCGCGCCCCACCTCAAAAATAACTAGCTTACAATAAGCTTCAAATAACAGATAGTAAGGCGAAAGTATGTTTTATTTGAAACGAGAAATATGTGGATGGACTTGCAATCTTAAGCAATGAAAAGATATAAATATTTAAAATAAGGTGGGTGAGATCAAATCTAACAAATATTTTTAACTAGCTCCACATCATTTCATGAAAATTGTCATTGTGGGGTTTGAGAACCACTGCTTTAAAGGAATATTTAGGAAATATGGATTGATCATAGACATTGGTTTGTAATGTGCCAAAAGGGTCTATGTTACTTATATCCTTTTCGTCTGACAGTCAAAATTTATTGTCAATGTGACAGTTCATATGGTACTAACATTCCGAAATAATTTGGTTGTTTATGTTATGTATTGGTACATATTTGCATTTAGATATAATTAATAGATATTTAGCAACCAGTAATGTTCCGTATTCAAGTAGATGGATTATGAAATGATGATATGGCCATTTGTCAGTATTTTTAATTGAAAAATTACTGTATTTTATTTTGTGATCTCATCCGATTCTGTTTGTCATTTCCATGACAATGGAGTAGCTCTTTCGTTTATTTTGTTATATGAATAATATTCAAATAATTTGCTCCAGACTGATTTTTTTAATATCCATCACATAGTGTGAGGTGGATAAAAAGATATCTGTAACATAGATGAGCGATTTTTACGTGAAAAGTAAATCGAAGTGTTATGTGTTGGATGACAATGTTCGGTGCGAGTCCCCAAATCCTGTTCAGCGAATAAATCGAATCATTTGTCACACTATTCTTGAGTCTAGTCCCGAGTATTAGCTATAAAGGTTCGAGTTCGGAGTTGAGACAAAGCACTCATAGGCGTAGCAGAGGGGCCATGGCCCCCAGCAACATCTTTTTTTAAATGGAATTTTGTGGCATTTGCAGCGAGACCTGAATTCTTACGTCTTTTTCAACACCATTTTGCTCTATTCTTGAACCATTTACTGAAACTGATTTACTGAAGGTTTCCTGGCGTAATAATCCTTCCCTTAGTTGAACCAACCGAGACACGTGAAAATGCGCGCTTTTATCTCTCGGAAAACTTCGACAGCGAAGACAGCTTGTAGAGCAGGGGTTCTCAACCTTTTTTCTGTCAAGTACCCCCCGAGTGACGAAACAATCAACGTGAACCCCCGGTAATCAGACACCGAACAGAGTTGTGATATATTGACTAACGATTTGTTGAAACTACGATTTATTGACCACATGTAACTAAATTAAATTTTCGTGATGATATTATTGCCCTTGTCCTCCGCCTAACTAATGAATTCTTAAAATCTCTCCCAAGTTTTAATAAGCATAGTCACTTTCTCCAATGCCCGCAGCACGCTGTTTTTTGAGATTACACAGTTTGCCTGCAAAGCCGTGAATTTCACATTGTTACGTCACAATCACAACAACGCAACATTAGGGAAAATCTACGTTTCAATTGGCATCTAGTTTCAATCCACACGCATTTTCCTCTGGTAGTAACAAATAGGGTTATCACATTTTTTGTGACTTCAAAGTGGAACGCCTCTAAAGACAACGACCCTTTAGCTGTGGTTTTGTAACTTTACATTTTCCGATTTTACTACATATTAGGTCTACATTTAAAGCTATCACGGCTGTCTTCATTGACCAAATTGTCATCTAGAATTCATGCGCATGTTCTCTGTCCAAATATCGGGTTCAGTTCGAAAAATAGAAAGGAATTGACCTTCACGATACCGGTACAAATAGTTCGAATTTAGACTAATTAATATTGGTTTTGCATGCGATACGTCTTCTAACAATGTTAGCGGGAAACAACGAAACAAACGCATTCACCTTCAGTAAGTAGGCTAGCGCTGCGCTACACAGAAATAACGAGAACATGTTCGTGTATTATGCTGGATGGCTGAACGCCAAAGCGGGACATTTGGGTGACTAGTCGGGACTGCGGGACAAGACGCTAAAAATCGGGACGTATGGTTAGCCTAGTAATGAGAGGTATTAAAAACAGCAACACACAAAAACTCGACTGGCGTCCAGTTACCCCTGGAAACCTTCCGTGAACCCCTGGGGGTTCGCGAAACCCAATACAATGTTGATGGATAGGATAAGGAAAAGGTTTACATATTTATAGGTGTTTTTTTACATATCTAGAGGTGCGGTGGAGGAAGCCGTAACCAACCAGCGGAATACCATCCCGCATAGAATTCGAACCCGCGAACTCACGTAGGGTAATTAGAGGTGCGGTGGCGAGCGTATTCCTAACGCTTAGCACGATGAGCCACACCGCCGCGCCGCAGATTCTATAAGATATTGTTTGATTCGATGGCTGCGTTTATCTGGGTTATCTCATTTCTGATTCAAGGTAAGTCCAAGCTTCGTTAAATTTCATAAAAACTACGATGCAATAATGTGTTGACGACACTTACCTCGGAATCAACACGACCTGGTTATTGCTGCAACAAGTTCAATGCGACATCTACGTTGTAAATTGTATTTTACTGGTGTATTTTTCTGTTTTAAGGACTTACTCTTAAAATTATCTTAAGAGTCTCAAATCAAGTCTACGGCGGTTAATTAAGTCAAATCTTCTCCCTTAGTCACTTGCGAATAGGGGACCCATGTATTTGAGCATTGCTCTCTTATTCATTGTATGATAAATAAAAGTTCAATTTGATTCTGTTTTGTGAGTTGATATGAACTTCGAGAAAGCAAACTAGATTTTACTTATTTCTCTCACAATTACTCTGGTACACTGCGATCTACTTCAATGTCACCGAAGTACGAACTTGGGATGTATGTTGTATCTATATACGTCAAGACGGTGCCAATATGGGAATGACGTCCTTATTTTAGTAAAAACACTCTTCCATTTTCAAGCATTGGCCATGTGGACAGCAGTGACGAACCGCAGAGCTGACTTAGCGCCGCGCGATCCAGTTTTTTTCAGCTAGGTCCGGAGTCTCAACTTAGTCGAAATTGGATGTTCTTTGACAATATCACTAGACCTGCGCACGCCACAAGTAATAAAATTAGTCAAATATAACAATTCATCATACAATGAGTGTAAGAAAAGATGACCGAGGTAAACTGTGAGGGAACGTATTTCCCAACCCACTACAACGTTAAACCAAAGTGTCTGGTGTGTTTTTAAGTAATATCTGTCACGCAAGAATATAATTTGAAGCGAAATTACAAAACCAAACACGAGAAAAGATACCGAAAATACCACGGTATTTCTCGGGAAACAATTTCTATATAACTGAAGGCTTTTTATATCTTCCTTGAAAAACTGATTAGAACGGTAAACTCTGATTCTTAAATATATATATATGTAAAGTGAGTATACTTGCGATGTTTTTATCACTTCAGAGTTTTCTCTTCTGGTTCATTTCGCTTATGCATCTGATTTTGAATGCATGAAATGAAATGTATTTCACATTTGTACGCAAATGTTTGCGATATCCTCATTCGCGTGTCTGTGTGAATGACTCGAATACTATTTTATTATACATGCGTGTTAGGCGTCATTTTAGCTAATAAAACATGGAATGACCAAAAAAGGTTATAGGCCAAAGTAGTAAAAGCGATTTCTCTGTCACTTCCGGAATTTATCAGATAAAAGAGATTTGCGGGGATGTTCTTAGTCATCCGCGATACATATTGTACGCAAGAGCTGTTGCTTAGTGAAATTTAATTAACAACTATTAATACCCGGAACGTGCCGGAGCAAGCAAGTAAAATACAGTCTACTCTTTTAGTTACGCAATAAGTTTATTTTAAGTCCACAACATGCCTTTTGGAGGATCACCAATCAGAAATAAAGGTAAAACAATTGTTATTATGTAGATATATGTGTTATGTTAGATTATAGTCTGATTAAAACATAGAAGGAGTGTTCACCAAAGGGGACTGATTTTAAGGAGCCCCACATTGATGCAAACTAATTTCTATTTTAAACACTTCAAAATAGTTAAGCATAATATGTCCTGCTAGTATGAGCATGTAAACACTTCTGGGGCATTTCTAAAAGATTTCGTATTTTAAATAATTTCACCAGATACGAATTACAATTTTAGTCGTTGTTAGGAAAAGTATTTTTAGTCCTATATTCGCGTTGTCAGATAACGGTGACCGTACATTTGAACCCATGTACATTTGAACCCATGTGTATATCCGCGGGTTCAATCAATATGCGGGTGCTAAAACCCATGGGTTAGGTTAGTATGGGTACAAATATCCGTAAAACCAAAAAAAATTCCATAGGTGCAATGGCATGCAGGTGCAATTGTCGTGGGTTCAAATGTACGTGGGTTCAAATGTAATGGAACCTCAGATAACACAAGGAGCGTTAGCGTGTTTTTTTTATCACTAAAGTTTTGTTAAATGGAATAATTCGTTTATTTATCTTGTTTCTACGATATTTATGTAAATTATTCGGCGCTCCAGAAGTATGTGTACCAATATGGAGGTAACTAATTTTGTTCGCCTACTCTACATCAAGTTGTGTAATGGGCAGGGAGTATAGTCATTTGGCTAACACAAACAGTCCCTGAACACGTAATAGAACTAAAATAATAAAAATCGAAATAAAATTATGACCTACCCTAACCTGGTACACAATAAGTGTAATACTAAATGAATAGATTACATATTACTCTTAAATGACCTTGTAGAGAAAAGTGGTGAATTACATGTAAAGTAATATCGAGTTAGTTTCATTTCAACCCGGAGACGTGCCAAACTTTTCTGTGAGGTCTTGATAATAATGCCCCTTCTACCTTACTAATTCTACCTTACAAAAATAATTCGCGGGATAAACAAGTTTTAGATGTTGTTAGATATATACAGAAAATTGAATTATTTAAAAGGTCAAGTAAGAGGAGATGTCTGTACTATCATTAATTGAATCATCAAACTTTGTACTATCATTAATTAAGAGGGCAAAAACGCAACGAACAAAACTTTCAAATTACATTGTTGCCAATTGCCATCATACAAAGACTATTTACTTGCGAATATATACGTATGTATGTGCATTTGTGCGCTTATATTGGAGACGGAGGTTTGAATAAAGCAGAGTGTGAATTTTGATAAACCATGGCCTCAAACCGAGTCGGAAACATTGACAACTGATAAACCCAGTCCTTCCACTGAAAAAAAAAGAAAAACAATACGCTCCATGCATATTTATGTAGTCTGCTTATTTTCATAGCGACCTTAATCTGGCTGTTTTGTCACATCACACTGTGTTACGTTACATGGTATGACTCAACATAACGATTTGCCTGCTACAGTGTTGCGGAAATAACGCTACCAATACGTATACAGTGTGCTTTAAGTCTTGCTTCAAAATCATACCAGTATAAGAAATAGTAAAGAGTACCTATATGAGAGTTTAAATATAGAAGTATTGATTTGAACCCCAACTTGGAGTGGATATTGTTTGATTCAGCACAATTGTTGATCCGCCTCGGAGTAGAGCTAATCAATTAATATTCATCAACAGACGAGCGCTCGAAATGTCAGGTGAATATAAGCCTACAAGGTTTCAGTAATGACATGGCATTGGAAAAAAATCTATTTGAAGTGTTATTAATGTAGGCTATGGTATAGCTGATTGTAATACAGCATGGGATCGCTTATCCCGTAGAAGCCACAAAATAATATTGGCGTATAGTGTTAGCTGCCAAATCAGAATTGTTCCCTTTCTTTCGAATACGGTAAGCTTTGTATCTCTGGGTAGCTGCTTCATTCATTTCACTCTTGACGCTTAGTCCCTCGCAAAAGTATTTGAGGTGGGACCTTATTTTTGCAAAAATACGTCATGTGTAGAGTAGTCTTTTTGAATAACTAAATACATTTTATGAAATAAAATCGTATATTTTAACAATGCATAGACTTTTATAGATTTTCATTTTTTATCTTACAGCAAATATGGCATCAGATACCGAACTGAATCTAGAGTATGCTGCTTCTATTATATTGCGAGTATTTAAAAAATATGATGAAGACGGTGGTGGAACTTTACAACGACGTGAACTTAGAAGCCTTCTTCGGCAGTGTGGAGCTACTTTGTCAAGTCGACAATGTGACGAAATTATCGATCAACTAGACACGGATGGTGACGGTCAGTCTAAAATTAATAATACTGTTTATGATACACGTTTATAGATCCGTTTAAAAAAAATTTAGCGTTACGAAAACATTTGCATTAGATTGACCAATACTGTGCGGAGGGTGCTGCTTGCATAATGCTGAGTTTCAGATTTGACATGATTACGTCAAAGAAACCATGACTTACATACAAAGTCATGCCATCCATCTGTTTTTGTTTGCGATGACACGTACTATATCATGTTGGGTCATCGTCAAATTACTGAATATCTTGATTTGCTGCTCAATTCACGTTGGCAAATGATAGGATCTAACGATCAAATGCCAGCGTCTCATAGCATCGTAATTCAGTCCAAGTTTAATTTCTTTCCAAAGTGCCCTTTGTCATTTCGACATCCTGAGGGCATTGTCAACACTCCTCTGTGTTAACAATCAGCCGAATATTTCCCAACCAAATTTATTTTTATAAACACAGGTGAAATGAACTTTGCAGAATTCATGAGCTTTCTTGGGAGACTTTATCAACTTCAATTTTTCGGCACCGATCCTGGAAATTTTTGGAATCCCAGTCCGCAAGTTGTTCCTAAGAATTCCAAAGGACCCGGTGCTAGAAATCATCAACAGCCAAACACACCTCCGGCGCAGTCGCTCCCTCCGAACCTTATGTCAAGACCGCTCCCTGTTCCACCAAAAAAACCGACCTCCTATCCAACCTCACCCGGTAGATATCACCGATAAGCATATCAACTATACTGTCTAGTCATAAAAGTTTTTCACCGAAAACTTTTTAGCACGGAGATAACTTTTAGACTTGAATAAGAGCCGTTTCGGTGGACTTGACAAGTTTTTAGTAGAAGTAAATTCTATACTGAAATAGCATTGAACAATACGTAACATTTTTACCCATTGAGTTACAACCATATACGATAAAGTTGCAGATTGACATTAAAACTTCAATTTGGATTTTTCGTGTGAAATTTGTTCTACTTATATATAAAAACTTTACTTCATATTGCTCTGTACTGTACTTATTCATAAAAAATAAGAGAATTCTTCCAGTTGTACTGTTATCTTTCAATTTTATTGTCACGATATATTTCTTTCGAATGAAAATGTAAACAAATAATGAGTTGTGAAAATATAGTTTAACGTGGTTATTATTTAGGAAAAAAAGTTTGCATATAGCACCCGGTCACAATTACTAACATTAATGAAGGGATATTTTTAAGTAAGCAAAAGAATTATTCGTAAAAAAAAGACTTCGAATACATAGACATACATCTAGCCATTACGAGTCAAGTTTGCTAAATTTACTATTGCTATCTGCCTATAGCCTAAAATAAATGGCACATTTTCAGTAACATAGGTAGTAATCTTTGGGATGTCTCGTTATTACGGACTGTTCCACATCTCCGCATCGACTATGACTCCAATGAAGCACTAAATAAGTGACATAGGTAAAGGACTTTGCAAGAATGAGTTCAGCATGGTTTAATTAACCAACCAATATGTATTCGAACCGAGTCAGAACATAGGCAAGCGTGCTATGTCATCTCAGACCGTAGTTGCCACTTGCAATTGTATGAATATAATGTTTATCTCCTAGGACCTAGGTAAATTATGTGATAGATTTTTTATGAATATATTATATAAAAATAACATCAAAATAAATTTAAATGAAAATTATGACAATACGCGTAACACAGTGTCTGATTGCCAATTAAATGCTACGTTCGTTTGTAATTGTATAGTAACAAGGAAATGTTATTCATAAAATCAAAACGTATTCGGGCGTCCGTGAAGCGGAGATAAATTTGCGATGTAACGTGTTTCAGGAAGATGACTAAACGTCAGAGGGCAACTTTTTCTGCAAGATGATATGTAGCCCAATATCTTTCGATGAGTGCAATATAAAAACACGCAAAAAAATGTTATGAAAAATACGGTTCCGGCATAATTTAGCGCCCATGTGCTGATATCGTCTCTATGATAGTACTTCACATTTGCATGCTCTTGATTCTCACGCAATATATTTCTTTGTTGGTTGTCAAGTTGAATTGACCTTTTCGCTCTGTAAAATCCGCCATCTAGCCTATCTGCATGAACATAAGTTTTCTTCATCTCAAAAGCTTTTTCGTTAGTCTTTATATTTTTATTTTCAATACTAAGGTCTTCGGCATAGAATTCGATCTTGGATATCAAAACTTTGCTATTTCGGGGATTGATCCCATAGGTCTGCTCATCAGTTCCAGAACTATTGGATCGTTTCATCTCGTTCTCATAAAGTCTGGTTGAAATAGCACTGCTTGTTTCAACTTTGACCTCTGTTTTTAACCTCTCTGTTGAAATATCGCTAAAACCATGCTGTGATAACGCGGTAGTCGAAATAATGTAACCGTCAGACAATCCAAAGTAAGATGCAATTAGTATGAACGCTTTCACTCGCGTCAACTCCATTGTAAGACAGTAATGCTTCTACAACTTGAACAGCTCAGAAATTCTCAACATTAGTAGTCGATCTGCTACGACAGCTGAGTGTCTGAGAACGATTCTCCTGCAATAATCCTAAACAAATATTGCCTTGCTTTGAAGCACTCCAAAAACTAGCGCAAACTCCTTAATTGATTGGACTTCCGTTTTATTCATAACATGCCAACGTTGGTGAAAGAATAAGCTATGTCTACTAACGCAGTTTAGCTATGCGATATATATTACTTTACAGTTTGTTTTCTCACTGGGTTAACGCGCGGAAACGATTGATCTTGAACGAAAAATGAAAGATGATGTGACTGCACCGGAAAACGTTACCTTGTGCTGCGTCGAGTCGAGAATAAAAATATTTTGCAATGCCTGAGCGAAACGCATCATGCAGAGAGGGCCCTGTCTGATTTGAGTTAGGATAATGACTAGGACCGATCTTAGCAGGTTAATGGTTACGATCTATTATGACCGTTAAATGACATCTTGGATACAAATCATCTTTATAGGCCTACTGTACAATTGTTTTAAAAATGAAATATCTCATCGCAAATTTATTTATCTTTCTGGCGTATATTTCAAAAAATATCATCAAGCACCAAAATGTAAAAGATAATTGAAGTACTAGTATTGCTGATTATGAAATTTTAACAATGCTAAGTGAATATTTTGTTCAAGATTTTTTTGCAAGGGCGTCTATCCATTCAATGTCGCACGACAAGTCGGAGGGAACATTTCGGGAGCTAGTACCTCCAAAGTTGGTACTGATTTTCTTTATGCTATCTCAAAGTAGGAGTCGCACATCGAACACTGAAAGTATGAATGACATTTAATACGGGCAACCCTAAAATGCGGGAAACGGGAACTACGGGAAATTGCCCATTCCAAATTGCGGGAACTACGGAAAATTACACAAATGGTGCTTCCGTTTTCTAGTTCAATTTCTTCTAGACATACTCTGGGTTAAAATTCGGGGTTAAATCCACTGGAATAATTCACGCCTTTTACTGGTTCCAGAAGACTACTGGATTGTATATTATTTCACTTCATAGTGGGAAAATTATTCAAAAAATAAATGCGAGTGCAAATCAACAAGGCTTCATCAAGGAATATTTTATATATAAAAGCACAAAGCAACGGTTGATTATCAATGTGACAAAAATACTCAATAAAACACATAGAAATGAAGAATCACACAATAGACAGTTACTTTTATCTATTTTTTTATCGTCTATTGCTGATTATGGAGTCGAAATAAACTTATACTTATAGATTCATCCATATTGCAAAAAAGAAATTCAATGTTTCTTATCAAATCAGGGACTTGTACAAGCCGAATTACCACAAGGCAAACAGATAATCTTACACACAAATCTGTAAAAATCACAGTATGTCCATCTAAATAAGTTGCCCGCTAGGAAATATCTGAGTAATATGTCATTTATTTTAAAGGTATCACTATTTATCGAATTTCTCATTTCTAATAAAATTTAATAAATTTGGCCATTATCCAATTTGAATAATTGGAAAGTGCTTGAATAATTGGATATTGGGAAAATTTCCCTTGTTGGATTAACCAAGGACAGACAAATAGAACCGGTCCCAAACATTTTAACAAGCTGACACCTTGTCGCATGCCCCCTAAAACCATCGACACATTGATGTGAAAAATACTTGTTTTTCTGTTGAAGTGTCATACAAATGAAAACATATGGTTTGAAATAATTTCGCCAATAAATTCAGATTAGTATCATGCTCGCAAGATATTTATTTTTAATAGATCTTTATCAAGAATTACAATGATAATAATAAAATGCAGAAAGAGACAATTTCATCGAAAAAATTTTCAGTGCTATATAAGTATTTTGATTACTGAACAAGGATGTCTATATTGTATTGGATTCCAATCATATGTATGTAATGCAAGGACAGATTTGCCTCATAGTCACCATTTACGAAATGTACCATTGTAATACTGCTCTGAATTAGTAAAACTATTCTTCACTACTAATATTTGAATGGCTGCAGCAATAGAGGATCAATTTACAAATTAAAATAAAAAAATGCAAAATAAAATCTAACAACGATTAGCGCATAAATTATGTATATACATAGCAATTAGCATTGTACAAAAAATTGCGAGAGGAGCGTTCCTTTAGCATGTACTAAACAGTTTGGTATATCCAAATACAATGTTTATGTAATGACTAATTCGGTGATTCAGTTTGAGCATTAGATTGTAATAACATTTAGTGACGAATGCCGTTAAGCATCATAGCACAAATTTATACCCAAATAACAATGCATTATCAAAAATTGCACCGAAATTGTGATAAAAACAATGACCAGATTATTCGCATTATAAAAAAATACAAAAAAAACAGCAAATCAAAAGCCAACTCTTATTTTTATACTGCATTCTATTAACACTCAAGGTTTGTCAAGTTCCTGTCATCAGAAAAAAAGTACCGCCCAATGCCCAACTGTTTTCTTTTCCTTTAATTTTTTTTCTGACCTGGAGTTTCATATCGGGTGGGAATCCAAAACCATCTTGCAAAAATGTAGTTATAATAGTCAAATCAAGGCACATGAATGGCGAATCTGGATCAAAATCCTCAGCACTACAAACTTTTCGAGCAGCACTTTCATATTCTGAAACAGTTATGAGACCACCATCTTCTGGATGAATGAGGCCATTCTCCGCAGCCCGATCAAAATAGTATGAAAATGCATAAAAGTCTTCTCGCTTAAGTTCGTCGGGACGATTTATTTTTCCTGCAATTGCTTTTTTCACTATTTCATGACATGTATCGAATTTTTCACTTCCTGCAGTTTCTCCCTTGATATGATACCTGAACAAAGGAAAAATATTGTGCACTGGAGACTTTTATGACATAATTTTACCAAAAAAATCATTCCAAAATCTGAGATAGTACAGAATTAAAAATTGAAGGATATTCAACGGTTGACTAATTAAACTACTAAATTTTTGTAACAAAGCTTTTCTAAGAACCTTGAGCACAAAACAACTAAAGAAATCACTAAATGTGTCAAAAGCTGTATGATATGGAATCATAGGTCATGATAGAATAGCCATTGATAAGTCCAGGTCAGGTCCTCAAGTCCTTGAAAATTTACATCCAGTAACTCTTCCGTCTCGTGTCATAACTTTCTAACTAAATTTGTGAACTGGTATTTAATTCAAGTTCGATTAATGTTGAGAAAAGAGATGATCAATTGGAGTGATGTTTCAAATGTACTGTAGTTCTAACAATGCTGAAATCACCATTTTAAATTTACTGAAAACACAGAGTTCAAAGTAAAACTACTCACAATGATTGAGCATTTTTCCAGTCACCCGAGTATCCATTGGGCATACAAGGTGATGTAACATCCATCGATCCAGGAGGATTAGTGGGACCACCCAAAACCAATTCCCTTGAAGACATCAAACCAAGACCTAAATAGCTGTGAACATAAACTTGCATCCTGTTGTTGAATACAGATGTTTCCTGGATGAAACCATCAGGTGCTGTATCTATTGTCTTCCGTTCCACAGGGGAGAAAGTGATTTGCATAGATCCCCCTTAATGAATAATTAGTTGATCAATATCTTATTGATATGATTTCTCAAAAAAAATATCCCGGATTATTATTCATGAATATACAGACACAGCATATGACAATTGTGTATCTTGTTTTTGTACTGTATAAGAAATTTCTTAACATTGTTTCTTTATGATTTTAGGAAGCAGTAAATATGCGTCACTGGTGAACTATATGCAAAATCAGAATTTTACTTTTGCCCAGGCAGCTAATTTGCTATAGTGATAAATTACATGTTCTGGGGTAGGTTAGATATTACAAATAAAACAAAAAGATGGAGGAAGCATTTCGAATTGGATTTATGGCAAAACAAATGGTTCACATTCACACCAAATGTTTTCTGATAAAAGACAATGACCAATGTAAAGAATCTAATATTCACCGTAATGAAATTGTGACGCATATTTTAGAGGTAATATTTTGCCACTAGTTAAATTGAAACACATAAGTGAAAGAACATATTTAAATGTCTCAACCCATTATCTTAGGATATGGAGACAGCTTGTAAAAGATATAGTCAATGCTGCTTTTAGTGCTTACCCCCTAAATCGATTGTTCCAACAGTGTCTTGGCCAATCAGACTGAGCAGATAATTCACAGTGAGCCATGCATAAATGCCTTCATCTTTTCCATCCATTATTGCTACTGGATCTTCAGGTATTTTGAATGGAGAATTGTCAAATAAATTATAAACTTTTTCTAAAAGAACTTTAGATTGTTCAGCAGGGAGTAACCTCAGTCCTGCAGTTGCTTTTAATGCCAATGGAGTTTTCATCCACCTGAAATATTGATTCACTGTAAAAATCGAACTTTCAATGATTTAAACAGTAGTATTGGATTTGGTATTCTGATTGCACCAGCTTACATGTATTGCAGAAATGTTTATTATTATGTTTGATTTTTGTTTCTATTATGGTAAAGTAATTTTTTTATCCATAATTCAAAACACAAAGCATATTGCACATATATTTCAATAAAAGTCCTCTTCTGCCATCCAGTAATAGAAAAAAATAATGTCTAACAATGATTATCATCAATATTACAAAACCCAACTGTCTGACTGTATAGATATTATTCACCATCTTACATTTCTTCAGGAATGCTTCTTCTTGCTATATCTAATAGCGATTCAATACTTTTAACACCATCAACAGGACGATCTGCGTATGAAGATAATCCCGGCTTCACCTAATGATGCAAAATAATATTTTAACGACAATACTCCAAAGATCAACATATAAAAACAAACATTTCTTCTTCTTTAATATATATGTACATGAAATAACTCCACTTTGTAAGGCAGTTATGGTTTAACAATATATTGATGGTATGATTGATATTACTGTATTATTGAAACTTCTCAACTTTGTAAATATATTGAAATGATTCACAAACCTGCTCGAAAACTTCATCCTGAAGAACTGGCTGAGAATTCCCATAAGATATAAACCTGTATACATGAACCCGTGATCCTGTGCTACCAGCATCTATCATAATCCCATATTCGATTTTAGCAGTTTTAAAATATGGAAATTCGATTCGATTACTCCACATTCCAAAAATTAAAAATATCAAACTCAATAAAATAACACCAACAGTGAGAACCAAACAGTTTTGCGACTTGATGTAAACCCTTCCTGTTCCGAACGACATGTTGCTGAAACTGTTGCTTGATGGGGAATGATGAAAAGTATGTTTGTTCAAGTGTGAACTGCTATAAGAATTTGGAAAACTTGAAGACATTTTATCAGCTACACAGGAATACCATGATGATCTTCTTTTCAAAACAAGATGGGATGTAAAGAGACAATAAGCTAGATTTTTAATCATCCATTTGCCGGACGAATAAAATTCTGAGATGTACGAATCTAAAATTTGATAAAGTTTTATCGTTTGACGAAGTGAGAAAAACAAGCAAGCATGCATTGGCAATCACAATCAGACAATCCTGAACAAATAGAAGAACACAAAAAAAGGGAAAATAGAAAAACTTCAAATTATATCATTTATTATGACAGCATAGCACATTTTCCTCAATGTCCACCTACCGTACTCTAACATCAGATCGTCGCATAGGTAGTTAGGTACGTTCTGACGTTACATCTTGATGACTTACTGGTAAACTCTGTTTGATTTGACTTTACGTGTCAAATCCTGAATGTGACGTCATGTTCCGCTTCACAAGATCGACACTGCGGAAACAGATCAACATGAACACCTTCGCCTCGCAACGGTCGAGTTTGGTGCCGTTTGATCAAGTTAATAAAAAGAATGAAAAACGCGAAGAAAAAAAGGTTCAAACATAAAAACTACGATGGAAGAGAATACAGGTGTAAATGCTTCAAAAGCAAATTTGAAAGAAAAATATGAGACTAAAAAACGCCGCGAGACGAGGCCGTTTCCCAGTTTTGTAGCTCACATGAAGTAATTATGTACCTGGAAATAATTTTAAAATGCTCCTTAGAAATTTAGTAACAAATAATACTTTGTTCCCATTTCCAAAAGTTGCATGTTTTACGAAAAAGGCGCCTTAACTACAAGAAATATGTAACCATCTGTCCTATATTCTCTGCCTCTCCGGCAACAGTGGCCAGTGAACGCAGACTTCTGCATGACGTAACAATTATAATTTTATCAGCTGTTGGCGAATTCCCTTGGACGGATGAATCTCAGCTTGTACCCCTCGCTTTTTCGTTGAGTTCAGTAGCCTACAAAGATATGCCCCACACAACGATATTTTTTATGCTGGTATGGAAGGTTTATGATTATTTTAATGACGATTCTTGAGCATTCACTATCCAGCAGACTTTTATATACAGCATATTTAATTCAGAAAATAATGGCCGTTTGTGTAATGCACGTTTGCGAGAAAAGGGGGAAAGTAACCAATTTTACTGATGTCAATGGTCTAAATTCATAGAGTCGACAAGAGCTTGGGCAGCAATGATAAGTTATTCAGGAGTTAAACGAAATGTAGCATTGGAGGCGATTGAGAAGTGAAAAAAACCATGTATCAAGTTGTAGACTGACAGTTGATGTTCTAAAATGTAGAAGGCATTTCAGATTGTAGGGATTATTGAGATTCAGTATAGATCAGCATTTCTTAACTTGGGGTAAATTTACCCCTGGGGGTAAATTCCTTCATTCTAGGGGGTAAATTTTGTTATTGTGGAAAAAAATATTGACTAAAAAAAATCTATTTGCTTGTTTTGTGTCAAGAAACGTTGTGGTATCGGTAAGTTGCGAGTTGTATTTGTCGCTAGTAGGCTATTACTTTTATATATTGTGATGTCATAAACATTTGCGCAATTTGTAGAGGTTCCGAAAACGCATATCAGCGGCAAAGCCCATATATACCTAAGTTGCGCAACAATGGAAATTGGCCGCCATTTTCGATCAATGTCGCCTGCGAGGCTACGGCGGTTCTGCGTGATCCTCAGCTAAGCTGGTGCCTTCTACTATAAAATTATAGGCTACTCGGCGTCTAATTGCAGCGGAAATAGCAAACAGTGCAACTATTGAGGCTATCAGCAGATGCCGAGAGAAGAAACAAATGGGAAAATATTTGTAGAGGCTGGAAATCCGGCACAGGCAGTTCGTTGAGTGAGGTTAGTCAAACGAATGGCCTAATGTCAAACTGACACCAGACAGGCTAGTAATCTGCAGGCTGTACATAGTTTTAGGATGATGTCACATTTAATTATTTATATCACGTTGCCGATCCGACTCGCTAAAGTTAGCCCAGAAAACTTACGTTGAACTACTAGGATTTTTAGATTAGGAAAACTGTATTTAAATCATCCTAAGTAATGCAATGTCAAAAATCAGTGCATTGAATGTACAAGATTCACTGTCATGATTGCTTGGAGTCCTACGGTCACAACATTTCATATCAGCAATGTGAATGGACAATTCGGAGCTTAGTGAAAATAATGCTTTATCTTTTGAATTTCTGAACTGAATGCGTGTTTAGTTAAGTCACTGATCAGCGGATCCCTTGTTTTAGATGGGAAATTTTTCATGACGACACTATACCACGTTACGGTACCTGATCTGGTAATACGGAAATGATTAGGATCAGTTCGCAATTCAAATTTCAATTTATGTTAAACTGAATTGTCAGAGGACCTGGAAAAGCTATTACAGTCCTTGTACCGGTACATAATATCAGGGCACTAGACTAGGTTTCCTGGTCTGGTAATACAGTAAGGATCCGAATCAGTCTCAATTCATGATGAACTGAATTGTCTCAGGGTCTAGAAAAGTTATGACAGTCCTTGTACCGTTACCGCTGATATTTGAGTTATTTAACTCAAATCGAGTTATTTAACTCAAATCGTCCTTGTACCGTGATTGTAGGGCTATACCGCATTTCAGCCAAAATTGAAAACCAAGTCGAGTTCTTTGTTATTTTACCTATTACATTAAATTTAGTCACAAAAGTTACACACTCAAATTAGTTTAAAAAGAATGTCACAAAAAAAAGAGAAATTATCAGGACGTTTATTTAGATTTTGGTTTTACGTATCTCATTCGGGATGGTCTCCATATTCCTCAGTGTGTTCTGTGCATGAAAACTTTTTCAAAGAGTACCATGAAACCCGCCCCACTAAAACAGCACCTAGCGAATGCTCATCCAAGCATGAAGAGAAAAAATCGGTCTTTTTTTGAGTCAAGATTGTCTTATCTAAAAGGTCAAAAACTGGACAAATCCGGCACTTTTTGGCAAACTAACAATACTGCTGCACATGCATCTTTTGTCGTTGCTCTGCATGTGGCAAAAGCTAAGAAAGCACATACAATCGGTGAAACCCTGTATATTGGAAAGTGTGAAGTTGATGCTTGGAGAGAAAGCATCTCAAACAATGAAACAAATTTCGCTGTCGAACGACACAATAAAATCCAGAATCAATGGAATGTCTGACAATATTAAGAGCAAGGTAATACCGAAGATTGACTCCTCCCCTGTTTTTGCCCTTCAACTTGACGAAAGTACAGATGTTTCCAATCTATCACAACTGCTTGTGTATGCCAGATATGTTGATGGTGGAATGAATATTGAAGAATTTCTCTTCTGCCAACCTTTGTAAACAACATCAAAGGCAGCGGATGTTTTTCAAATGTTGGATAATTTTTTTTACCAATACTGGTTTAGGTTGGAGTAAGCTTATTGGGGTATGTACTGATGGTGCTCCTGCCATGATTGGTGCAAAATCTGGATTGGTTTCCCTCATAAAGCAGAAATTCAAGGAACTCATTGTATGATTCACAAAGCGGCCCTTGTCTCCAAAACTATTCCAAAGAGACTTCACGAGCATTTATCTGTCGTAATCAAGGTCGGTAATTATGTGGAAAGTTCAGCGCTCAGCACAAGACTCTTCCGCAAGCTTTGTAAAGATATAGATGCCGACCATACCACACTTTTATATCAATGCAAGTACGTTGACTGTCAAAGGGAAACATGTTTCCCGTGTTTTTGAATTAAAAGAAGAAGTAAAGTTGTTTTTGGTTGCGCAACAAAAAAATGATCTTTTGCTAGCATTTAGTGGGGACGGATTTGCTACATACTTAGCTTATCTTGCCGACATATTCGAAGCATTAAATCAACTCAACAAGAAACTGCAAGGTCCAGAAAGTAACATGATCAAACATACTGATGCCATCAATGCATTTATGGCAAAGCTCAAACTTTGGAGCCAACGAGTAACAAACGATGACTTTACATCATTTCCCCGCTTGAATGACATAATTAGGGATGGTTTTGAACAACTTTTAAAGCAGGACATTATTTGCCACTTACAAAACCTGCAGAAGGAATTCGAACGATATTTTCCCCGAGATCAACACTTCCAGCATTTTATTGAGATTAGCAAGAAATCCTTTTATATGTGAAGTGGAGGATGTTCCTCAAGTAATTCAAGAAGAATTTATAGAGTTAAGAAACGATTCTTTTGCTGGAGATCAATTTTGCACCTGCAACCTAGAGGAGTTTTGGGTTAAAATGCAACGTTCCTATCCAAGACTGGGTAGTAATGCCCTGAAGATTATTGTTCCCTTTTCTACTACCTACCTGTGCGACTGCGGATTTTCTGCGTTGCTCACTATCAAATCTAAAGCACGGAACCGGCTCGATGTCGAATCTGATATACGCTGCGCATTGTCTGCTATTTCACCAGACATTGAAAACCTGGTTGCCAACAAACAAGGGCAGCCATCGCATTGAAAATGTGCTTTTTTTCTGAAAGTTACACTCATACACTACATGCTTTTTTTCTGAAAGTTACACTCATACACGGCGAAATACACTCATGTTGTTCCAAATATGATTTTCTCCATTATTTTAGATACTTCACTACAGAAGAAAACGGCAATGTTCCAACCATCCCACCTAACGCAGACTACAATCGTTGCTGCTATAAGCGCTATACCTGTGAGAATAAAATGTCTCGTCTAAAAAGATGCTACGCTCTTCCATAACCAACAAAGGGTTTGAGAATAATTAAACGACCGCATATTTCCCCCACGAAGTGCGCAATTGCAAGATTAAGCGCAACAGGATAACTCAGAAGAGAGCATTGGAGAAACTGACTTAGTGTCACACATTAAAAGCAGGTTGTCTTCTTGAAGCAGCAAAGCGAAAAAACATGAGATAAATTTGAAATATAAACATTCACACTCGTCTGTTATAGTTGTGGTGTAGTCACCAGGATAATGTTTCATTGATAAGCTTTTATATTCCCCATTTGCTCACACTGATTGCACCAATTTCAGATTTTGCCACTTTGCATGCTGTGTCGTTGTAAACCTATGGTTATTGATTTTCGGGGAACCCGCGTATATCCAATTCATGGTGTTTGAAGCAACGTTCATAGAAAATGTGCAACTTTGTAATGCGTTCAGCATGTTTATTTCTATACAAAACTAAAGAATTTGTTTAGTTACCATATGTGCGCTGCGAAACTCATTTTCACGGCGTAGTTGTCAATTTGAAAAAAAGAAAATGAGTGAACAGAAAAGTCGTGGTTGACATAATTGGACAAAAAATCGGCAAGTCTTATATAGCGTTTATGA